CTACACTGAAACCAGAATATCGGTGTGCTTGGTTGTCCGATCTGAACAGATCCGATCAGTGCACGTGAATCATGTGAGGTCTGGCAATCCGGCATTTGGGTGCCCGTGATTCAGGCAACACAAGCGAACGCAAGCACACAGACAAAAACCGGGCTTTGTTCTCTCAGTGTGACCCGAGAAAATCCCACTTACCGATTCGCTCACGCATTCTTCAATCGCGCGCGAGCGCCCGCGCATGTGCGCTCGTACGCACGCACACACACACACACACGCTTGGACAGCATTCGGATGTTGACATCGTCATCATCATCATCATCCTCTTTTGCTAGTTGACCCGTCACCTCCCCACCCCAACCCCAGGCCGGTCTCACAGAAAACACACACCCACATGCTGCAGTGTAAACGCCAACGAGCAAACAAAGATCGTCCCTGACGAAACTGAACGGTCTTATCGATCCGGACCACAGCAATGACCTAAACCTGTGCGTCGACAGTTTGGGAACAGGCGAGCAATGAATCCTCCCTCTCAGAGCGGAAGAACCCTATGAGCGCCGCGCTGTGCGAGCATGTGTGTGTGTGTGTGTGTGTGTGTATGTGACTGGGCGACTGTAGTCATAGCAAGTATAGGTTCACATTCTGTTAGCCGTGACCGGACCGCCTGAACCCAGTGTTTGTGTTCATCGGCCCGAGTGCATGACGTCATTCTTAAAACATGAATGGTTTGGGGGGTTACCACAGCATAGTGTAAGTACAAACGGTGATGGTTGGTGCAGTGTGTGCTTTGTGGCAAAGGCCATGTGATGGTGACCTACCGGGCTGGCACGTTCCAAGTGGGTCAGCCAACAGATTGTGCTTCGCACAAGGGGCAATGTGTATGTGTGTGTGTGTGTGTGTGTACAAGTTATTCATGTGTATGCACTGAGTGGAGAACAAGAGCACTGCACAGAATGCACAGTCATTTAACTGATCGTACCAGCAGTTGGACCGAAACATCACACCGACGACGACCATTTGTGAAATGCTATGTGTATCGCCAGGGCTGTCATTCGTTTGTCGACAGTTTCACAGGCTCTCACCCTGTCACCAACGAAATAACGCTTCTCCCTGACTGGATAGGCAAGACAATTACAAAAACGAAACAAGCAATTCTGAGAAACACATGGCCACGACAGTTCCTCAACCTTATTCATTGTTAATTTTGATTGCCTTGTGAACCTCACTCGTTCACTTTCATCCTCATCATCCTGTGTTATGGTGAAATCAACATCAAACTTACAAACTGTGCTTGTCCGGGCGCCATGTGATAACTGTGGCACGCAATCTACCGAACTGGAGAGAATAATGAGCAAGGTAGAGAAAGATAAATTCAGAGGATCAAACGATTGCTCACGTTCCCCCAATGTGTGTGGGTGCGTGCGTGTGTGTATGTGTGTGTTCGCGCGCGCGCGTGCAGCTGCCAATCTCCCTAGTCTGTGAGTTAGAGTTCATTTTACCCAAACGTATTCCCCCTCGCCCCCACGGCTGTTCAATCTCGTCCTTTTATGCACACACACACACACACACACTTACCTGTGTGTTCGCTCTCTGATTTGTGCTGCGCCACGCACCCCACTCCACATCAACGGGTTGGCTGGCTGACTGGCTGGTAAACGGATTCGTTCGTTGATGATTTTTATTCAACTCACTCAACTCAACACACAAAGTACGGCGCGGTTCTCTGTGAGCAAACGAGAGAAAAAAATTATAATCACCCAGTATGGGGTGGGGTCAAGTCCGGCAAGAGAGATGGATTAGCGGAAAGACGGATGGATGGTGGATGGATGGATGGATAGTTGGAAGATGAACGATTCATCTAACACTCGTGAACAAGTAACCTTCTGTCAGTCGGGGACGTGTTTGTTCGCTGCCGTTTTTCGTCGCCATGCTATACTGGCGTTGCGCAACCGACTTAAGGCCCCACCCGAATGGGTTGAACAAATGCTCTAGCTACTCTCTCTCTCTCCCTCTCTCTCTTTATATCTCCAGATTTGCTGTCATTCGAGTCTACTGTGCCCTACTTCCATCCACCCACAACCAGGTTCTGCCGGGAACCTAACCAGTGCACCTCGCCCAGCCACTCATTTCAGCCCCGTTGCTATGCCTGGACTGTTGTGTACAGACGCGTTTTGATTCATACCGTATTAATATCATCATATGCACATACTTGGGTTGATTTGTGTGTTTGTAAACTTGTCCTCTTTCTCCTCTGACACACACACACACACAAGCAGAAATCTAACATTATCAATGAATCGCCAGAACCACTGCAAATCAGCCTGCTAAACGATCTGGACTGACTGGGAAAATGGGGCGAGCAAGCGAGCAGAGTGACGGCTGGTCAGCCGACTGAGTGGCTGACGGACAAATTGTGTAGCACACCTACAGCCCAGCTGTGCTTTATCCATTAGATACACACATATACATACATACATACATAAATATAAATCTATGGGTACATAGAAGCATGCAAGCAAAACATAAGATGGGGGTATTGATACTGGATCTTGTCCACTTTGCTCTATCAGATCGGAACGAACCCCTTCCGGGAGAGTCTCGTCAGTATGGTTTACCATTTCCCATTCTCCTCCAGCACCTCGTTCTCCTCTACCTAATCATGTGTCTTGATAGGCAATACGGGGTG